GCCTAGAAGTAAGTCGTATGTATCAAAAGGATACAAGAAACATTTAGCTGTTGTTAACTTCCTTTGATCATCTATCAGTTTAACATACAAAGGAAAGCCAGTAATAGATCCACCAAAGCAACTGGGTGAACTATTTCCTAGCTGGGAACATTTAATAAACCTAATGCAGCCAATGAAATGACTTAGTTTTTAAATACAATAACATCCAGACTACTTAATGAATGACAAAAGATGGTAAAAGAAACGCTTTGGAATCCCAAAAAAGGATTAATCTATGTTTTATTTACTAGAAAACGTTTGAGGTATACGACTTGAATATCAAATCCAACTATACCACCTTTGACACCAAATCAACTGAATCAATATGTTTCAAAAGATTTCAAAAATGATGATTGTGTGTCAAACAATATCAAAACTTCAAGTATCTCTGCCAAATGTGTTTCTTTTAATCCTGTTAAAGTCAATTTATATCATTGATTTGTTTTTTGTTTTTTGAAAACAAAGTGATGTCCAGAGGAAAGAAGAAAAATAATCAGTGTAAATAACTGGAGAAAAACTGCTATCAAAAGAAGTAAAGCTCACTGATCAGTATGACATTTTCAGCCATAATTTCTTCAAAATCCGTCTTTGAAATTGTCAACTCCTCTTCTGAAATTTGGTTTTGACTTTCCATTGAATTGATCTTGAATATTTCAAATTTGATTTCTGATAAGTTTAATTTTTGTTCATGTTTTTCATGTCGTCTTTCTCTCTTCTGTCAAATTCCAATAAATCTTCACTTTCAGATCCATTTCTTGCCCATCCTGGATCATTCATTTTCAACACATTTACTTGTGTTAATAACATTGATTTTGTAGATTTGCATCAGATTCAAAGTTTGAAAGGGTTTCTGGTGTTAGAAAAAGCTGGAGGACCTACAGAATCCATTGCCCCGCTGAACAACACTTGATGAGCAAAACCAATGGTGTACCTCTCAAGGTTTGTTTCAATATGATCATGACTCCTCCAACTCATGCACTAACACAAGGTTTTTGGTATGATTGCAAAGTTATAGGAATGTATCACCAATCTATCTCAAAATGTCAAGATGGCGTAAACAATGGTTGATTTGGAAATATTGAGTAACTTTCAATGAATAGTGAGCAATTTGAAGAGGTAATAGTTTCTCAGTACAAGGTGTTTCTCAAAGGAATTTTGTTTTTTGTATCAGAATTGTGATTGGGATTTTTGTTATTGTGATGAAATTATTGAGAAAAATACAAGTAAAATGCAATAAATGTAAAGATTTTGAGCATATGGTTCAGTACAACTTGCCAAACTTCAGGGCGGGAGTTTCATCATTTTTCCTACAAACTCCTGTGATGTTACATCAGGTCAAAGATACAAATAAAGAATGACTTACAAGTTGAGCAAATGGATGATGAATGTTGAGTATGAGCACAGGTTAAGACCGTTGAGGCGGCACCCGCCGCTAATTGTGCTAGTGTTATTTATAGTGTGAGCACTATAAAATAACTATGTAGTACAAACTATGTAGTACAAACAATAAATATGGTTTTGGCCTACGTGTACAATCTGAAATTATATTGGATCAATTCACCCCGTGTCTATATTATGTATTGGGGTTATGTCCAGATGAATTTGCCTCAATATTCATGGGAATACATATACAGATGAATCCTCTTTTTAGACAAAGTGATTAAATCTACGTGGAGAGGGGCAAAAATCATATACACCTGTCCAGACCTATGTCCAGATTAATCTGGGATCAGTTGATCCATCTAGACCTAGTATGATTATAACACGTGCACTACTAGGTCTGGGTGGCAAAATCTGTCAGATGTATCGGTACTACCGACGACGGTAGGTTATGACAATTCCAGATGTACCTGGAGTGGAGTCATCTGGGATCAGTTAGACCTAGTATGATGATAACACGTGCACCATACTAGGTCTGGGTGGCAGAATTTGTCATATGTATCGGTAAGTTTCTGACAATTCCAGATGAATCTGGAATGTATTTTGTTATTTGCCCTACATAAAGATGTCGGATGGCTCTGGTACATCCCATTTAGACCTAGTGTGATGATAACACGTGCATCACACTAGGTTAGCCAACTCTTCCAGATGTTTCTGGAGTTCCAGATGCGTCTGGGACTGACAATAGTCGATTGATGCCAGACTGGTGCCAGACCTATCTGGTTCAACTGTACACTAACTGTACACTAACATTACTTGTACGCTGCGCAGTCAGATCAATCTGAAGGGTGACGTAAGCCACATGTACATAGCGTACGTGTATATTTGGCCAGATGCATCCGGGCCATTGCCCAATCGGAGATAACATCACATCGCCTCATATAAGATCCCATCTGAATCTCTTATATTTGATTGTATCTTCCACCTTCCACATATTTTATATCAACTTATATTCATCATGAGGTCTACACGCTCTAGGGTTTCAGCTTCCACTGCGCAGCAAGACCCCACGGAACCCAATTCGCAATCACAGCCGGCCCCCAAACATGCAAATGAATCCAAAGGAAACTCTTGAAACCAGAAGAAAACGTAAACGGGGCCAGACTCAAAGCAAAACAATCAACCTGAAACTCAGCCAGCTCAGTTACCCCCACCGTTACCCCAGCCGGATTCTCCAGCAGCACCTGGACCCGATTCCCCAGTTGGTGGGACTGTTGCAAATCGCGCTCCGCCCACCACGCCACCTGCCGAAGATGTCGAGATCTTTGACTCGACCATCACTCTTGAGAATCATTGCCAACATGGAAAAGCGTGGCCCATGACACGCCTTCAAGGAGTCGTTGATGCTCGAACCAAGACTGTATCTCGTATTCCGGTCAACATCCTTGCTGAGGCTAGACTTGCAAAGCTCCAATATCAGAAGACCAAGTTGTTCCTGGCTGCGATCGGGAAAATCAAACATAGTACACTCGAGGAAGAACTGTAAGTAACATCTAAGTCTCTGCTTTTCAAACTTGTCTTGTTTAGATGCTTACAATATTCATTCGATCATCAGTGGCGAAGGCAGTCCCACACGCCCTCGCGATAACTACCGCAGGTTTTTGGCTTATTCTAAAGCGGTGATCGCGCTCAAAAGTACGTAAATTTGGACCTATTGTGCCATTCATTACTTAACAAATGTTACTGTGTTGTTCATTTTAATAGTGCCTAAGAAAGGAGGTGGTGGTGACACATTGAAGATTAGGAACAAAGAAGCTGGTAGAATCTGGAGAACTTATGGTCCCGAAGAACGTCGTTTTTTTAATCGTACCCACTTCTTTGTGTTGGCTGGTATTCCCGATCTTGACAACCCGGCCAACGACGAATCAACCACCCCTACTATTCCTTTACTTAGTCCGGAGGACGAGGAAAAGTATTGCCCAATTTATGAAGAGCTTGTCGCACACGAGAAAGTCTTGAGGAAGGAAGGAAGACTACCGGCGGACAAGGATCTCAATGGACGGTCTTTGCAGCGTGTTCGTCATCTCGCAAAAATTGTAAGTCCTTCACTTATTTTACACCTTGCTTCATCCATCTCATCATTGGCATCCAATCTTAATTACTTCGTTTTTTCCTAGATTGCCCGCGATGGCGAGCGCTTGAAGTTCAAATACATTTTCCTGGATTCAAGCGCTCACACGCCAAGCAAAAACTCTGGTCCTGGATGGTCCAGAGAATACTCAGCAATACCTGCTGTCACCAATTGGGCTGATCGCGAAATCGGCCTCACTCCTGTATTTGCAACAGTGGCTCAGGGCTAGTCGATGATCAACGCGATTTCTAAGGCTAGCCAATCAAAAAAAAAGAAGATACCTACTGGAACCATTTCCAGTAAGGTGCAACCGAGTGATCTGCTGAAGACCCAACTGGCAAACCTTTTGAATGAAAGACTTGGTATGTCCAACTTTGACCTAAATATTTGTACTTTCAATTTTGCTGATATGCAATGTCTCCTTTATTTGTAGTTGACGTACTGGGATACAGCCCGACTAGAGGTAAACAATTTCCTCTCACCGGTGATCCAATTGAAGGTCTTATCAAGCGCAATATTCCGGTTAAAATTGTGCAAGCGCCTGGGTCCAAACTCAGTGAGGATGACTTGAGAGTTGGTCACAAGGCAATGACCAAGGTTCATCGACAGGAATGGCTTGATGACTTGAATAGTGAGCATTTTAGGTTAGAACCGTTGGCAGCATCCGAGAATTCAAAATCTATTGCATCCAAGAAATCGAAATCCATTCAATCAAAAACTAACAAAACCAAGGATGGAAAGCGTAAGAAGAAAATAAAGTCGGCTGAATTTGTTGACGGAGATGAGGAAGAAGACACCGAATATAGCGAAGATGAAGATCAAGAAGTTGATTTAGATGAGGATGATGATGATTTAGATGACGATTTAGATGATGATGATGATGATGGATCAATGGAGGGTGATGAGATTGAGATTGAGGATGATGACAACGACAAAGAATAGTTGATCAAAATTTGTTTTGTTTTCTAGTTTTTTTTAACTCTTTTTCAAATTTATCTGCCAGCCCTCTATCTCTTCTTCTATTTTTTGTTTCTACTTTCTCTTGTAGCCGCAGTGCCTGGCCTACCCGTTTTCAATTGGAATTGATTTCTGTTTAACAAACTTTGGCGCCAGATAGCCCTTCAGAAGTGAGAACGTCCAATGGTGATATACTAATGGGATTGTGATGTGAGCGAGGTGGACGACATGAGTGGATGGATATTTCTTGGCCGGCGTAACCAGATGCATCTGGGTATGTCAATCAGAAAGTCCAGCTATCAGGTACATGTTCTCTGAATAGTCAGATTGATCTGAATCTGGGAGTGAGGGAATCTTGGTGTGCAAGTGTTGAATTTATCTGAGCCAGATGCATCTGGATATGTTGACTGGAAGATCTGGCTGATTCAGGCAACCAGATGCATCTGGGTATCCTAGTGCCGCATGACTAGAGCTGGACAAGGCAGACTGATCTGATTCTTGTCCGGTTAGCATAACCAGATGCATCTGGGTACGTCAATCAGAAGTGTCTGGCTATCATGATTGAGAACATGTTGTACTGTGAAAAGTCAGATTGATCTGAATCTGGGGGGAGTGAATTTTGACGGGGAGGTTTCAGATTCTTCTGACTCAGATGCATCTGAGTGGGTACGTCCATATCATTGAGAGCATCATGTGCTCTGGAGAGTCAGATTGATCTGATTGTGCACGCGGGGACAGTCTGAATCACAATGTGTAGCCATGTCAGATTCATCTGGACGCCTATAAATCCCTCGGAGTATGTGAAAAGGGCAAACCTCTGGAATTGTAGTAAAAAAGTCCATATGTACTCTAGAGTGCTCCTGAGACTGTCTGAGCAATGTTTACATACTTGTTTGGTGTGGTAGAGGACTTTGACTTGGTGTTTATAAAGGTTGAGCAGATGTCTCTGTGCATCTGGGATGCATCTGTCTGCAAACTTTCGGATACAAGCCGAAATGATTGCTCACTTTTTCTTCGGGTTGAGTCCGTGCATTTATTGTGACACAGGTGGGGATGTCAGTGGGAATTTTAGTAGCGAATAAAGTTGTGTTATGATGCTATGATGTTATGCTGTTATGTTTCTTTTCCAAATATCACATAGTTTGATTCTATGATTGTTAACGCTCATCTCAAACACTTGTTCTTTCATTTTCTCTTTATTTGATATGTTTGCATGGATACAATCTTTATTCTGGTTATGTTTCTCTTTCTAACTCTTAGCTTTGTAGTCTTTTCTCTCTCCTATAAAGAGCTAACTATGAGTCGGAAAAGTTTTGATCTTCATCTATTCAAAACTTTTCTTTATACACTATAAGCAAAACTCTAACTTACAATGTGTTTGCTTTTGTGTGATTGATGTTTGAAGGTACCAAAAGGCACGACAGTACCTTCTTTTTCCACAACACAAACAGGTATCGGGTACAAGTGTAAATACAACACCCCGGTACCGGGGAGTTCCCTTTTGACACATATGAAAAATGTTGCAGAAAATCTCTGCTCAAAATTTTCCATCCTCTCCATAGTGTCGAGAATTTTCACCCCTGATATTTCCCACGCCTGTTCCTGGATTCCTCATCTTCACTCTTCTCTCATGATCTCAATCTTGATATTGCAATTCCTTTTTTTCACTAAGGAGTGGGTGATATTACAGTTGACTCCCTCAAAACCCATACCTCTTTATGGAAACACAAAACTATGGGTTTTATGGGTGTATGGTTTTGGAGGATCTCCCTCATAACCCATAAATTGAGGTTTAGCAGGTAAAGTATGGGTCAAGAGGGAGATTTTTTTTTCAAAGAGTTGTTCAAAAAATTAATTTCCATATTTCTGTGTGATACCTGTGTTGTCCGTTGCTTTTCTCAGCAGCCCATTTCTTAGAACCTATAATATACAACAACTCATGTTTTCAGCAAGTGAACAGTTCAACAGCGCCCTTGAGGTTACAACTTACTGGCTTCTTTGGGTACCGCTGATTGCTTTGTTTGATTGAATTTCAAAATCAAAAGTTCAAGTCTCTTGAGCTCTTCTTGAATTGAATTGCAGCCTTGGAAACATTGCCTTTTGATTTTATCTTCCTCAACACCATAACTTTGTCTATCAAGTTGCCCGCCAAGTCCATGAACCTTTCCGCCGCCTCTGATAATTCCTTCCCTGTGCTGAGCAGTTGGCGTAGTGGCTTAAGCCTTTTGTTGTTCTCTGTTTCAATATCTGATATGCTGAAGTTTGGGAGGTCTTGTGGAAGCATTTTGAGACGCTTTCTGCTGAGAAATGATTGACCAGGAGGTGGTTTTTACAAAAAAAAACAAATTTTGCACTTTCTGGTTATGGCTTTTGAACCTGGTCTCCCTTAAAAAACCTATGGGTTATGGGAATAGTGTGAGGTATGGGTTTTAGGCCACTTTTCCCCGCCCATAAATTTTATGGACTCAATTTTCTATGGATTATCAGGAAGTATGGGTTTCGAGGGAGTCGACTGTATGTTGACTCCAAACAACCCCAGCAGAAGGTGGCCCTCCTTCTAATATCGATAACACAGTTATACATGGAGCTAACTCGACGGTGAACAATACACCAACCAACACCGATAACTTCAACGCGATTATGAGAAGAACAAGCAACAGACTACGTGGGGGATTGGTACCCCCCCTGATTTGGAGGTTATTCAACCAGCGGCCCAACTTGGCACCGTCCAACGAGGTGCCATTGCTGCCCAGAGAGGCAGAAGCCGAGGGAGAGGTCGCCGTGCTCGAGCCAGCCCTGCAGGTTTGACCACTACCCCCGCTAACAACGCAAGCAACTCAAGACCTACTCCAGCAGTAACACTCACAGTACCTGGTCAATTATCTAGTTCGGCTTCGAGTGGGGCAGATACCACGCCTACGTTAGCAAACTCAGAAAATACCGCGAACAACCGCAGGGAGGATCAGATACTTTGGTGATCCACTCACCAGGTAGACAACCAGCTGGGAACTTGATTTTCCATGATAATGTACAAAATGAGCAAACCTGTAAGCTACACGCATCAGGTTACCCACCTTCGGTGATGCCGCAACAGCGATGCCACTATTTGAAGTGTTGCCACCTATGGTGAAGCCTCGAGTTGAGTTGTAGTTATACTTACTGAATCACTTCTGCCTACCGACACGTTGAGCGTCACAGTGCCCTCACCTGCTCGCAGGAATACAATGACCATAGTTGGCGGAAGTCCCCCTAGGGGTTTTCATTCCTGGCTGGTATCAAACGGCTTGACGGTAGTCAATACCGGAAATGGCACTGCACCACCTGTGAGCGGACTCTCCTCAGCTCTAGCTAGCCGCAACCCAACCGTACCGCCAAACGCTCAGGCAGGATCTGCAGCTCTAACATCCACCGTGACGAATAAGAGGAAGCCGGTTGAAAGGATCGATCTCTGTAGTGATTTGGAGAAGGAACCTAGTACAGGTGCGACGAAGAAAACAAAGCCAAAATTCAGCGAAAAAGGCATTGAATCAGTTGGTTTCACCAATCTCTCGAAGTATTTCGATGAGAAAATGACTAGTCTAGAAGGTTACATACCTCTTTCAATCTTCAACTCCGTATGGCTTTCCCAAGATCTGCTTTGTCGAGCTGCACGCGCCAAAACTATGAAAGCAAAACTTGACGATTCCTATGTCGGCTCTGCCCTCCCTCCAGAATGGAAGATGAGCTTCGGTGAATGGGTTATGTCCTTCGATTTGTACGTTGCGTACTTACGACACTACGGCCACGGAGACGTCGCGGATAAACTTGTTATTCACAAAGAGAATGTCTTCGCCATCCAACGCCAACGTTTGCGCTGGCCCATGGCCTTTTGGTACGACTTGGAAGTGAGAAATTCCGTCCTAACCTTCCGGAATGCCGACGGAGACCTAGCGAATCCCGTCATTAGAGATGCTGCAATTGAGTGTAACGCCCTCCAAGAATCAGAATGCTTGCACGACTTCCAACCCCAGTTCGCAGATATGAATCCTTACGCAGACGGTCAATTGAAAGCACACATTAACCCCATCTCTGGAAACGTGATGTTCCCTCCGGGCCACCATTCCGGGCCTGTCAACCATAACACCAATTTTGGCGGTTTCCCCAAAAATGGAGGCAACTTTGGTAAACCTCTTGAACGATACGTAGCTACTTCACCATTACCTGTTAACCTAAGTAGAAAACCACAAGTTGAACCGGCTTATGACGGATTGGGATGGAAAGAGGCGTAGAGAC